GATAGATAGATAGATAGATAGATAGATAGATAGATAGATAGATAGATGATAGATAGATAGATAGATAGATAGATAGATAGATAGATATAGATAGACAAACTGTAGATTAGATAGATGGATAGATAGATGGATGGATGGATGGATGGATGGATGGATGGATGGATAGATAGAATTCTTTATTGGCCAAGTGTAATTGGACACACAAGGAATTTGTCTTGGTGCAAATGCTCTCAGTGTCCATAAAAGAAAAGATACATTCATCAAGAGTCAAGAATCATCAGGTACAACACTTAATAATAGTCATAGGGTACAATAAGCAATCAAATCATACTAGGAAACAGTCAATAGAAATCATAAAGATACAAACAACATAGTTAGGAAGGTCCATGATTAGCCTTTATATATACTTTACATATACTTTACGAAAGCCAAAGTGGTTACAGAAGAAGCAAAGCTGGATCTGACATTTTCATGCGCAAAAGATACAATTATCTTCCCCTTGTTCCCAGCCAGCCCCCCCTGGTTTATTGGTCAAAGTCCAGTCAAGTGTTAACAAATTGTTTGGAGAATGGCCCCTGTCTTCACACTCACCGGCTCCACATTCTTTTGGTGTGAACTTGAGATGGTTGGTGCTTCTCACCAGTGGTGGGATTCAATTTTTTTTTACTATTGGTTCTGTGGGCGTGGCTTGGTGGGCATGGTGTGGCTTGGTGGGCATGGCTTGGTGGGCGTGGCAGGGGAAGGATACTGCAAAATCCTCATTCCCTCCCCATCCCACTAACCTGCTTTCCAGCTCCGTTCTCCTGTGCAGGGCAACCAAAGGAGACCCAGCCGATCTGGTGGGGCAAGTCAGAGGTGGGATTTGCCGGTTCTCCGAACGACTCAAAATTTCCGCTACTTGTTCTCCAGAACTGGTCAGAACCGGCTGAATGCCACCTCTGCTTCTCACGGGATGGTCTTCTTATGGGACAGTAATTTCCTCTGAGTCCCCATCCTACCTTCACTGCTTCCTACTCGCATTAGTGATGTCAGGCTGTCAGCTTGCGATGCGTAGCTTAGCAGAATGGCAGCCATGACAAAAAAAATTCTTGTTTGTTGTGGGGGGGGAAAGCTCAAATCTCTGTAAATACTATCTTTAGAGCACGTTTATTAGATATTTTCCTTCCATCCTTACCCCCTAGAGTAGAAAAAGGATAGATTACTATCATTTTTCTTCCTGTGGCTTTTCCACTTACACACCCACCCACACCCACCCACCCACCCACACAGAATCGGTAGTAAAAAAAAATTGAATCCCACCACTGCCTGACGCCCATCTTATTTTGGCGAGGCCCAAATGTGCTCTCAAATTCCAGTTCTTAAAGATTAGAGATCCCTTATTTTGGAAGTAAGTTAAGGAGGACCAAAGGACGCGCTCCTAACATCCTCCATTAAAAGTCAGACCCTCGGTGAAGTTCACTGGATTTTATGGTGCATGTGCTTTGCCTTGATGGACCTAGGGGAGAAAACACCGAAGCTAAAAAATTTCCATTCTAGTTGACCCATAACTTAAGTTTAGCTGTTCCCTGTCATGGACAGCGTCTGATGGAGAAATAATTGGATCTCCACAGGCTGCAAAGCGGCAGCTGATGTATCTCCTTTATGTTTGTGTGTTACTAAAGCAGCCTCAGTAGAAAAGTGCACAATTAAGTGTGATAAACAGGCAGGCACTCCGGGGAACTCATTAGAGGTGACTCATTGCAATGAAATTGGTCTTTGTGAAGGCGTGGCATGCTCCTTTGTCCCCCTTTCTGCTCCAATTTCGTGCAGAGTAGACTTATGCTGGCAGGATAGTGTTCTCCTTGTTCTTCAAGCAAATTAAATTGCATTTTATTATTATCAGGTCTTAGGAATAGTGCTTTCCTTTTTATGAGCCTCTCCCTTTTTTCCCCTCCAAATTCTGCCATGGCTAGGCGCATCCCTGCACCAAGACTGAGGAAGCAAACCCACCAAGTCAAATATGTGTAAAAGGCCATGTGCTTGAACAAAAGAGCATGCAGGGTTTAGGTACAGAGGTCTCCAAACTTGGCAACTTTAAGACTTGTGGACTTCTGACAAGCAAAGTGAATGGGGAAACTGGATTCACATAACAGCCCTGTTAAAGGTGAAGGTGAAGGTTCCCCTCGCACATCTGTGCTAGTCGTTTCCGGCTCTGGGGGGCGGGGCGATGTTCATTTCCGTTACAAAGCCGAAGAGCCAGCGCTGTCCGAAGACGTCTCCATGGTCATGTGTCCAGCAGGACTAAATGCCGAAGGTGCACAGAACGCTGTTACCTTCCCATCAAAGGGGTCCCTGTTTTTTTACTTGCATTTTTTACGTGCTTTCGAACTGCAGAAGCTGGGACAAGGAGCTCACTCTGTGATGCAGCGCTAAGGATTCGAACCGCCAACTTTTCTGATCAACAAGCTCAGAGTCTTATCCACTGAGCCACCGTGTCTCTAACAAACCCTGTTACTAGAGGGTTAATAGAGCTGAAGAATCTTCTTGGAGGAGAAGCAAAATGTCTTCAAAGAAAAACCAGTCCAGTTGCCACTTGAAAAAGCACCTTTGGGGTCAACCCTGTTACTAGCTTAGCAACTGCAGTGATTCACCTAACAACGGTGTCAAGAAAGGTTGTAAAACGGGACCAAACTCATTTAAGCCTCACTTAGCAACATCAATTGCGGTCGTAAGTCCAGGACTAAGTGTACATGTCTACAGGTAGTCCTTAACTTACCACCATTTGTTCAATCACAGTTCAGAGTTACAACAGAGATGGAAAAGGCACCAAGGACCTGTTCTCAAAGTTACAACTGACCCAAACGTTCCTGCGTCACATGGTTGGGATTTGGGCACTTGGCCACTGGCTCGCATTTACGACGGTTGTGGTGTTTTGTGATCTTGTGATCCTGATTTGCAACTTCCCAGCTGGCTTCCAACAAGCGAACACAATGGAGAAAACCTGTTCACTTACCAGCCACGTTGTTCACTGAACAATAGCAGGATTTGCTTAGCAAACCAACAGTGCATAAAAATGGTTGTAAAATTGGGGTCTCCTCATGTGACCAGCCCTTTAATGACCGCATCGCTTAACGTCACTTACATACTGGCCTCACTTGTCGTCCCTAAGTCAAGGACTATCTCTGGCTCACTCGACAATGGCCTGATTTGCTGAACAACTGCAGTAAAAACAGTTGGAAACTCAGGTCCTTTCAATGACTGCATCGCTTAGCAACCTAAATTCTGCTCTCCATTGTGGTCATAAGTTGAGGATTACCTGGATTCTAGAGAAAGGGTGAAAGCCCAGGGTTTCTCTGCGCTGAGAGTTAGAATCCTTTTCCCCAGGTGCAAAGTGGTAATCTGTTTTTTTCTCAGAAGCAATTAACTACTTAGCCATTGGAGAAGCGAGCTATTCTTCCCTTCCAAACCTGAGATTATTGAGGTATTTAAAACCCACCTAGGGGACAATGCTGGCTCCTTTGGGGAACGTTGAAGTGTTTGTTTGCATTCCAATTAATTCCGCGCCCCCCCCCCGAAACGGATCGCTTTGTAACTTAATCAATTTCCCAAATGCAGCAATAATATGCTCCACCAAATGTGGGTTTCCTGCAGAGAAACGTAGCCAAGTCTCCATTGGGGAAAAAATTCCTTTTCGTGGGAAAATTGCTCTTCATTTTAGGGTATGATAGAATGAAAAAAATTTACATGGAAAAAGCCATTTCCGTTTGCTTACGGGGATATAGAACAGCAAATTAGGCATTTGAGATGCTTTCAAAATTCAATATCCCACCTCCCAGACTGAGGTATTAATTTTTCTAACTGGCAACCGTTAGTTGAAATTGTAGAGGGTATAATTGATAATTGTATACACAGGATGTTTATAATCTAAAGAGGAATAGGACAAGAAAATCCTGCTGTTGATGTGACCTAATCTGATAATGAAAAGTTCAGACACTAAATTGAAACAAGCTTGGAGGGCAAACCACGGCCAAAATTGCATAGGATCTTCTGCATGACCAGTGGGATACAGGCGTGGGCTGCTGGGGTTTTGCTGGGGTTTGGGAGAGCCCCTAGCCGAGTTTCTGTGAAGTTCGGAGACATAACAGTGTCAATGTGTCACAGCAAAAAGTTGGATCAGATTAGAGAATCTTTCTAGGTAGGGATTGGCGATTTTGTGTTGCTGTTATCCGTATCAAGTGAGTTCACATCCTTTGGTGGATCAAGAGAGAAGGAAAATGGTCCTTCCAAATTTCACAAGGTGCTGTGTGTGTGTGTGTGGGGGGGAGGGTTTGGTGGGCAGTCGAGAACTGCAAAAGAAAGGGATTTGAGGCTAATATGGGCTGAGTTGCCCCATATATCTGCTGAACAAAACACCATACTGGTGACAGGGAGGGCATCTGGCCATTTAAACAGTCTGCTAGCTCCATTCAGCTTCCCAGACTCCAGCCTGCAAGGGATTATGGGGTCATTAAAAGAAGATGATAGGCTGCATTGCCCATCCTTTTCTAGATGGTAATTCGTCTGGTCCCTAAGTATATTTATTTATTAAATATTTATTTATTTGTATTATTTTTACAAAGAAGTCGAGGCGGAGAACATATCCCACACAATTTCCTCCTCCTATTGTCCCCACAACAACAACAACAACCCTGTGAAGTGGGTTGGGCTGAGAGAGAGGGACTGACCCAAAGGCACCCAGCTGTTTTTAAATGCCTAAGGCGGGACTAGAACTCACCGTCTCCTATTGATCGCCCAAAGTCACCAGCTGATCGCCGATCTCATCGCTGATTCTGGCCACATTACAAAAGTAAAACAACACAAAGAAAACCTCCCCAAGTCCATAATTAGCTCCAAAGTCCATTAGGCTGTCTCCCATTCTTTTTTTCTCAGCAACCTCTTTTTGATTTTTCCAGAAATGGTTTTAGGTAGGTCTTGAACAAACTCGATCTAACGAAAACAGAATGCATTGTATTTAAAAAAAAAAAAGGGAGAGAGAGAGAAAAGAAAATGTCAGCCCTTCAAGGTAGACTCTAAACAAGAAAACTAGGAATACTAGTTGTTTAAAGCTGCATTAACAAAACTTTGCAAGTCTGAAAGTATCCCTCGCCTTTACAGCCTAAGAAACTCTTCTGAGTTGATTGCTACACTTCATTTCTTCTGTCATGCCCCTGTTGGAATCTGATTCGGAGGAGGAGGCCAAGCAGCTGACAGGGAGCGGGAATGTGGCTCTGTTGGCTGTAGAGGAAACTGGGGAAGGTTAAAGCCCGGCTGGGCAGAGCAGGGGGAAGAGGTAGAGCAAGGGAGAGGGAATTCGGAGGAAGACCCAGGCCCACCCACTCTTCATCCTAGGGCACACAGGGAGGAATGGACAAGGGAGCAACGTGGGTTGTGTGGCTTATGGGGGAGGAAAGGGCCCTGATTCTCTTCATTAGCTGCAGCTGGGAACACAGTGTTTAAAAAGGGAAGCTGCGCACAGCAAGTTGTTGGGAGCATATCGTGAATTATCTTGTATCGTCGAGGCTTATCTGTGTTCCTGGCGTCTTCCCAACTGTGTGTGTTTTGCTGGCCTTTCAAGTCGCAATTCCTTCTCCTGCCCTGTCAAGTTAATTACTGCAGAGTGGTTTGTTTGGATTTTTAGTTAAAGTTTGTATGTATTTTGTTTTCGGACTGAATTTCCTCCACTTAAAGACTGTTCCTGGGAGAGTTTTTCTCCAGTCAAAGGTAACCTGGACATGGGGGGGGGGGGGGGGAGAGAAGGGGGAAAAAAAAAAAAGAATCTTGCTTATTTGACTGTGTTGCCTTTGTGCCGCACCCCACACCTTCTGTGGGCACAGCTGTCTCTTATCTGATTGTATTTTTTTTTCATGAGCAGGAGGAATCAGCCCAGCCACTCAGACTTTAGCCAGAGTGACCTTGGAGATGGTATCATTTCAGCAACCTTCAAGGTCCTATCAGTGGTTGAAGCCAAACAAGACTTGAGCCTCTTGTTGTGCCAAGTACTCACCTTTCTGGGGTACTTATATGGAGCTGTAATTTTCTTCACGTGTCCTTGCAGCTCCAAACTTAATTTCTCTTGGTCTTGTGATTGGTAGGCAGGTGTTAGGATGATAAAAGCTTTTACCACCTACAGCCAAGTCAGGGTAAAAAAAGAAGATGAATTATTTATTTATTTATTTTATTGCATTTATATTGCCGCCTATTCACCATGGCAATATTATTATTAGCAAGAGTTAATATTATTATTAATAATAATTAATAATAGCAATGGACTATTAGCATTGCTAGTAGAATTAGCAACGGCTTTCAAGATTTGTGCAAAGTTAGCTTTCTGGCGCTATAGGATGAACGCTTAATAATAACATTAGTGACAATAATGATGATAATACCAATAGTGATAGATACCCTGGGTGCAATCCCAAACAACCAGGCCATTCCTTGAATACCGTCGGTGTTGACATAACCACCACCAATCAATTGCAAAGGGCAAACTACTCAAAACAGCTTACATCTTGCAACTAGGCCTCTAACACCATCAAACACCAACACCTGCTTATCTCAGATTTTTAGGAAGGATACAAGAGATGGGTCAAAATGTCAAATCCAGTCTAACACATCTGGTTGACTGTGTGACTAAGAAAGTAGATTTGGTCATTTTCAGGACCCCGGAGAGCTCCCTATAGAGCTTCATAGATTAAAATAGCACTGAAGAAGAGATCTGTTGCATCATAACTTCCTAGGTTCAGCATAAGCCTTGTGAGAGGTGATCTCTACCCCTTCATAATGTGGACTGTGGAATAAAATAGCCCTTTCTGAAGCCTTTCCTTGACTGAGAAACTACAGAAACCAAGGACAACTGACCACGAAAACTGAAATCTCAGCAATTAGGTGACCTGGAGTGATTATGTTCTAAACCCTTGTTGGACATAACACACAGCATTATGGGCACTTCACCTCTCCTCTGATGGGATCTGGGCTGCTAACAACAGCGGCTTCAGCTACTGCAGGGTGTTTCATCAAAGCGTACTCCACTTCAAATGGACCAATGCGGTATCTAAATAGGAGAATACTATTAATCAAGGGAGACTCTGCAGGTTGAAGGCTAAAAGCTCCAGTTTGATCTCTGAAGAGTCACTGCACTTGATTGCTGCCCAGATGTTGATAGATCAAAGGTTAATGGGTACTAGGACATAGAATTCAAATACTTAATTGCTTCCCAAACTTAACAGGAAGCATTTGATTTTGGCAAGTTATTGTGTCTGATGTGTTTATCAAGAATTTGCTTTCATACTTCAGTTGAAGGAGCCAAAGTATCTCTGAGCATGCATAAAGAGTAGAACATGGAAATTGGAAGATCACTGAATGGAAAGAGCCAATCTCAGTACACACCTTGGAGACCTCAAAATTTCAATTCATTGATGGAAATGTTTTAAAGGTGCTGATGGAATTGTTAACCTCATTTCCATGAGTTTTGATTTTATTCATGTTGATGGAATCTCTCTCTCTCTCTCTCTGTGCATGTGGTGTGTGTATGTGTGTGTTTGGGGATGATAGTTTGTCCTTGTGGTACAGGATTGAGTAGCTGGCCTATGAATGCACCTCAGATTTTGCATTGCCATTGTTGGCGTTAAGCATTTTGGATATCTTGCAAAGCATTAGCAAACAAAGTCTACCCAGAAGACAGGATGATATCGTCTGCTCTTGCAATGAACTGGACGTATCCATCTTCATCCATGAGACCTCTGTCTCCAGTGATGTAGTAGTCTCCACGTTCTGTAGCCGCGGTTTTTTCTGGATCGTCCTAAGGGCAAAGAAGCAGGCAATCCACACCTCACATTCTTTGCTGGGTGGCTGCAAACATCGAGTGAGGCTACACTTGTGAATGTGATCCATTACTGGACTATCACAGGGTAGAAACTCCATAGGGTGTGCATGGGCCCCAGCCTCATAATTCAGTTTGCTGAAACCCACAGGATCGCAAACTGCTTTGGTTCTGCAACCCAACAAGGCAGACACAGACTTCAGAGGGTAATTAGTACTGCAGAAAAAAAACAATTACTACCAACCTGCCTTCCATTGAGGACCTATATACTGCATGAGCCAAAAAGAGGGCTGTGAAAATATTTACAGACCCCTCACATCCTGGACATAAATTGTTTCAACTCCCTCAAAATGATGCCATAGAGCACTGCACACCAGAACAACTAGACAGTTTTTTTTCCTGAACGCCATCGCTCTGCTAAACAAATAATTCCCTCAACACTGTCAAACTATTTACTAAGTCTGCATTATTATTACTATTACTGTTAATCCTCCCATCCTTCCTTTCCCATCTCTCCTACTTATGACTGTATGACTATAACTTTGTTGCTTGTATCCTTATGATTTATATTGACTGTTTCCTAGTTTGATTTGATTGCCTATTGTACGCTATGACTATTATTAAGTGTTGTACCTGATGATTCTTGACTCTTGACGAATGTATCTTTTCTTTTAGGTACACTGAGAGCATTTGCACCAAGACAAATTCCTTGGGTGTCCAATCACACTTGGCCAATAAAGAATTCTATCATCTATCTATCTATCAATCATCTATCTATCTATCTATCTATCTATCTATCTATCTATCTATCTATCTATCTATCATCTATCTATCTCTATCTCTATCTATCTATCTATCTATCTATCTATCTATCTATCTATCTATCTCTATCTCTATCTCTATCTCTATCTCTATCTCTCTCTATCTCTCTCTGTCTGTCTGTCTGTCTATCTATCTATCTATCTATCTATCTATCTATCTATCTATCTATCTATCACGTTCTCAACCATCTCTGTTCAAAATTTTTGAAGTTTGTCATTGGTCAGCCATTATCCAATTAGATACAATCTCCCTATGTTCACCCTAACATCACTGATTCGCCCAAAGTGAATTGGTGTGGAGTGGTCTTTGGAACCAACAATTGTCACCTTTGCTGTAGCTTTTCCACTTTGGGAACCGAGAAGGACTCAAGTTTCATTTGAAGCTTCATCCTTGGTCATTTCTGTAGGTTCTCCATGATCATTACTAGGGCTGAGGGACAATGGCTGGTGCTGTCACCCCTAAACTTTTCTACTTCTTGAAATTTGCTCAGTTGTTTGAGGGGGTTCTTCCTTACCACATAACCACTGAAAAGTCCCACAGGCCTTTGTGGCTTGATCTTCACGGCGATGTCTCCTTCTTCTCCAGGTGGAAGACAATTGTTATTTTCATCAATGATCTAGAAAGAAATGGTCATTCATGGATTCCCTTTTGGTTCTCCCCGCCCCCCCGGACGGGACCTCCTTGGCTAGCAGATTCATTGTAATGTACAATTCTCATGGGATTAGTTTATGCTATGCCAAGGAATGATCCCACCTTATAATTCAGGTAGTCCTCGACTTATGACCACAATCAAACCCCAAATTTCCATTGTGAAGTCTGCAATTTGGTAAGTGAGTTTCGCCCTGTTTTACAACCTTTCTTGCCACCGTTGTTAAGCGGATCACTGCGGCTGTGAACTTCATAACATTGTTGTTAAGTGAGCCTACCACTCCTCCATTTTCATTCTTGTCAGAATGTCGCAAAAAAAGGAATCACATGACCCCGAGGTGCAGCAACCATTGTAAACATGAATCATGGCTAGTCTAGGGAAGAGAAGGACCAGGGGAGACATGACAGCAGTGCTGCAATATCTGAGGGGCTGCCCCAGAGAGGAGGAAGGGATTAAGATATTCTCCAAAGACCCTGAATGCCAGACAAGGAATAATGGATGGAAACTGAACAAGGAGAGATTCAACCTGGAAATAAAGAGGAATTTTCTGATAGTGAGAACAATCAACCCATGGAACATAAGTTTCCTTCGGAAGTTGTGGGAGGTTCATCACTGGAGGCTTTCAAGAAGAAACTGAGCTGCCATTTGTCAGAAATGGTGTAGGGTCTCCTGCTTGGGCAGGGGGTTAGACTAGATGACCTACAAGGTTCCTTCCAACTCGGATTATCTGTTATCTGTTATCAGTTGTCAAGCATCTGAACTTTGATCACGTGAGCAACAGGGATGCTGCCATGGTTGTTAAGAGTGGAAAACGGTCCTAAAGTCCCTTTTCTCGGGGCAATTGTAACTGCAAAAGGCCACTGTTGTAAACAAACTGTTGTAAGTTGAGGACTACCTGCATTGACAATGTCCATGACAAAACGGACTTACCCGGACATCAACGCCAGAAAGAGGTTTTCCAATGAATCCAGGTTTAATTTTCAGTCCTTTTCTGCTGCTGCATAGCAAGGACTGTGAGGACGAATTATAGAGAGTGCAATTAATAGCAATAGCCCTTAGACTTATATACTGCTTTATAGTGCTTTCCAGCCCCTCTCTAAGCAGTTTACAGAGTCAACATATTGCCCTCAACAATCTGGGTCCTCATTTGACCCACCAGGGAAGGATGGAAGGCA